CCCGCGGCCCCGCCGGCCGCCCCGGCCGCGGCGCGCGGCGGGCGCGGGGCGGGAGCCGTTGCGGCGGGCGGGAGGGCGGCGAGCGCAAAGCGTTGGTGGGCGACGGCGAGGGGGCGCGCGCGCGGGCCGGGGCTGGCGGCGGCGGCGAGCGTGCCGACTTGCAGATGGCTGACGGCCTTGAGGGTGATGGTCAAGCCACCCTGTCAGAGTGTGGCGGGTGTGCAAAAGTGCGTGCCATGTGTGACTCCAGGAGTTTGTTCGCAGGAGTGCATGCGGGTGCGGACAAGCGGCAATGCTGCCAGTGGCATCTGCATGCTGTTCAGATGCCACTTCCGCCGCGGGCAGCACAATTAGTCAAATGCGGCCGCGCACCGCATCAATCAGCTGCAGCTTCTCCAAGGCCGGACCGTCCCCAAAAGGCTCCAGCAAGGCGGCGCCGCCGATGCCGGCGTCGGCGCCGCCTGTGCCGGCCGTCACGCCACGGGCCCCTCTGAGTCGCAGCACCGCAAGCTGCCCGTAGGTGTCGACTGCGGCGAGCATGCCGGCGCCCCCTTGCAGCCACGCCATCGACGCGATGGCGAACCGCGCGGGGTTGAGCAGGCCTGCGTCAGGTGGCAAGGGTGGGGCGGTGCAGCTGTGCAAAGAGGGCATGCTTGAAAGTTTGTTGGGAGGAGAAAGGCTGCGCACACGCGGGCGAGGAGGGCCCGCGTGCATTGCACGAGCTCGGAGGTAGGGAGTTCGCATCGCATGCTGCAATCATGCTCCGCCCACCGCCGCCACGTCACGAAGTCACCTCACATTGCACAAACTCAATGATGTGCAAGCTCACACACACGCCACCCGCCACTCATACAAAAGCCCCCGCCTGCACGCACCCTTTGGCGGCTTGCCGACCGCGGCGTGCCAGCAGCACTCGTGCAGCAGCCGCAGCTCAGGGTCCAGCAGCAGCAGCCAGCACGTGTCGTCGCCTGCGCTGGCAACTGCCACGGCCAAGCAGTCCCCCTCCGGGTGCCACGCGAGCAGCGCGCCGCCCTCCGACAGGCCGCCCGCCGCCCCGCCAACCACAGGCAGCGAGAGCGCCAGCCGCCGGACGCCGCCCGCCTCGCAGGCGCCGCCGGCCCGCGGCCCCGCTGGCGCCGGCGCAGCGCCCAGCCCGGAGGCTGGCGCGGGCGGCTCGAGGCCGATGCTGAACGCCGAGCCCCACTGACTGCAAGGCACGGGCTCAGCCTGCGGCGCGTGCACCTCCACCACCAAGCTGCACCACCCCTGCGCGGCACCAGCGCCGCTCGCGCCGGGCACGCCTGCCAGCGCAGGCCGCTGCATGGCGGAGAGCAGCATAGAGCCATCGTCCGCAAGCGCTGCCGCGGCGCAGGACACCCACAGGCCGCCGCTCGGCTGCCTGTGGACCAGCACTGCGTCCACCACCGGCCTCTCAGCGACGACGTTGCTGTCCTGCGTCGCGCGCCGCGGCCCCGCCGGCTCGGGCCATCCCTCCAGCTGTGTCCAGCTCCCGCCCCGGTGCGCCCGCTCGCTCGACCGGCGGCCGCCGCCGGTTGACCTGCGTGGCGGCGGCGGCGCGCTGCTGCAGCGCGGCTCGGACAGCCACGCGTGGAGCTGCGGCCCTGCGGCGCCCTCGGCCGCGATCAGAACAGCCGCTCCTTGGTCTGCGTGTGAATGGCGCAGCAGGTATGGTTGTGAGGGCAGGCGGGCCGTTGGGCCCTAGGCAAGTGAGCAAGCCGGCCACCTTTGCTGTGCGCAATGCTACCATGGGGTTCTGCTCACCGTCCACAAACACGCCCCTCCAAGGGCACGGCGCGTCTCTGCGCTGCACCCAGTCTCCCACGAGGGGACCTGCGCGGCGCGCGGCGCGGCGCGGCAGCAGGGGGCTGAGCACACAGGAAGGCTGGGAGGCAGCAACGGGGCTGCGGCTGCGCATGGAGGAGAGGTGCCTGGACGCACATGCTGCCATGCAAACGCATGCGTGGATGCATGTATAGTTGCACAGCATGCAGCACGATGCGCAGTTGTGTGCGCGGTGCATGCGGACCACTGCAGGTTTGCAATTGGCTGCATGCCATGCATGGTGCCGCAGATCTGTTCATGTGATGGACTATGTGATGCTGTAGAGCTTACTGGGCAGGGGGATGTCCCTTCGCTCTCCATTGTGCCCGCGCAAGTCCAGGGCACGCCCCGCGTGCGGCAAGCGCAGCGCCCATAGGCCGCGCGGCGACAGCCACAGCCGGTCGCCTGCGGGCGCCGTGGCAGAGGGATGATGTAAAGGATCAAGGGACAGGGGTGTGAACGGGTGTGAACAGTCTCGTGCGGAGTCTGACCCGCACTGCCATTGCGCGTCAGCCCTCTTCTTGATGACTGAGTTGGAAGGGTATCGCGATCGCGGCAGCCATCCACGCACCTGCGGTGCCACATCGCAGCCATGGCCCGCCGCCCTGGAGGACGCCGGCTGGTTGCACGAGCCGCGCCAGGGGGCGCTCGCCGCATCTGCGCGCCAGAACCAGGCACGTGCATGCTGGCCCTGACTGGTCAACGCCCGGCTTGGAAGCCGCAGCAGTGCGCTTGTCGCTATGTCGCCGTCGCCGGTCACCGGTGCCGAAGGAGAGGCATGATACATGGACGACCTCCTCGTTGCCAACGTACGAGTCGTACAGACTCTGGGCGGTCGGAAGGAGGGCGAGCTTCAAGGGTGATCGCGCAATTTTGAGTGTCGATCTGAGGGCTGACCTGACCGGCGCAACGCACCGTGATTGGGGTGCCTTGAAGCCTCAGAGAATCACATGTATTGAGTCCCTCGTCCGCAGGGCCCCGCGGCCCGTCCTCCAGAAGGCATGAGGCCCGCAGCCTCATCCTTCGAATTTACGGTATTGTGACATGGATATACTTGTAATTGAATGATTTTTCAACGGCGGCCAAGCCACATACACAGTGCGGGATGTCATAAGCCTGCAACGTGTCGAGTGTGGTCGTCAGCGTACTGCCGACGGACATGGCACCTTTGAGCCTTGCAGCCTGGCCGGCCCAGTGCTGGACTTGCAGTATAGACAGCGCTCCGCCCACGCGCACAGCGACACTGAAGCCATCAACGGGCATTACATGCTGCCAAGGTCTATGATGCAGCTGTAGCCAAGGGGCGCGCACACCAAACGGCGGGTCCCAAACAAAGTAAACCTGCTGTTCAGCTGCATTCACTACTGTCCCCAATACAAAGGGCAACAACAAATTGACGTGACAAAGCACCCCAGCGCGCCACGCTGCCAGGCACGCAACTACAACGCCTCTGCGGCGCCGCTCCACACGGGTGCTGTGTTGTACACATACAGGCGGTAACAACTGCTTGGCTGCGCGCGTGTGGCCACATGCGGCGGCCCGAGCAGGAAAGTTTGAGGCCGTGTGGTGCCTGAACAAAGTCTGAGTGTTGTCGGAAAAACCCCCGCCAGCCTCTTCGAAAGGCAAAAGTGACAGCGACTGGTCAGAGAAGACGGCTCACTGCTATGAGCGTAGCTGATCCCTTGCTGTGGTTTCTTGGCAACGCTGCCCTGCATGGTGCTGCCCCCGCAACCGCTGCTCCTCGGCCGCTCACGCCGGCGGCGCCGGAGGATACGCTTTGGGGTGCCACGCAGAGGGCGTGTGGCCGCCCTGGCTTGGCGCGAGCGCCCCCGGCGGCGCGCCCAAGCCGGGTATGCTCGCCGCTCGCAGCGCCTGCGCCGTGGCGCCCAACGCCGACGTCGCCGCGGCCGTCACATGGTATGGCGCCGCCCCTGGCCGGGCAGGCGCGGCCGCCGCGGGGACGGCCGGCGCCGGCGCCGCAGCACCAGCAGCCGCGTGCGTCTGCGCATGCGCGTGCGTGTGCGCGTGCGACGCCGCCGCCACCCCGCCAGCTCCCCTGGCCTCCGCCCCGACGCCGCCACGGGGCTCGTGCCGGCGGTCCTCCCGGCCCCGCTCCTCCCAGGGCCGCTCCCTGCCCCGACCCCAGTCCCCGTCCCTGCCGCCGCCGCCGCTGCCATGCTCATGCCGCTCGAAGCGCTCAGAGCGGTGTTGGTGGGAGTGGCCTGAGTCCCTGCGCCGCTCTCGGCTCCTGTCCCTGCTCCTGCTGCGCGGCCGAGAGCCGCCGTAGCGGCGG